AAGAATAACCAACACCAGCTTGCGAGTTCCTGAGTGAATTCATACCAGAATCTTTCACATTTGCACAAGAAATTGGTTGAGCCACAGTCAACAGAGGGAGATTGCAAATAATTTTTAAAATTATTTTGCTAAAAGAATTTTTTTATTTTTTTATAAATAATAAAAAAGTGAAATAATTTATTTTATATATCTGATTGTGTGTTTGTGAAAGATACTTTACGCGCAATCAATTTTATTGACTAATTGTTCATTTAATTGCATAAATTTCACACACATTGTTAAATGCACGGTGAGTTTTTGTTGACAATGAATGCCCTTGTACATTCCTACTGAATTTGTTTAATTTAACAAAATGAAACATGGATCATAAGAGCGTCTATTGCTACCACCATGGGTGTGTGCACCCTTTTCATATATACTAGTTACTATTACACTTGATATTTTTGGGGAGCGAATTTAATTGATGACAATAAAAATAATGAGGATTAAATTGAACATGTTATTTGTTAGTGAATGGTTTTGGGTTTCTCAAGTTGAAACTTGTTGTCGCTTTCTCTTATCCAAGAAACGTTACTATAAAAGTACATGGAATTTGAGTTGTTTATACGCATAATGTTTCATTAGAGGATTACCTTGCCATCTTGGTTGATTTTGTTGAGCTAGTACTGTGTAAAATACCCAATACAAATAATATTAATATTAATATCGATAAATGTTTAAGAAAGGTCAATATTCCCGGGGAAAGTGTGTAAGATTCACTTGGATCATAAGGTACCCACCTAACAGAAGGCCCCATCATAAGCATTGAACAATAGGTGCATGGTGCACTTGGATAATCATACAACAATATTTTGATCTCAAATTCATTTAACACTACATATGCAATCAAGATATTTTTTTCTGGTCAAAAAAAAAAAAACAATAGTTCATTATCAAGCAATTGGTTCCAACTCTTCATCCTCGCCTATTTTTGATAGTGGCAATGATTTGTTGTTTGATACGTTTTACTAAACTTATTTACATATATTAATATAAATAAATATTGTCTCGTAAAAATAAATAAATCACTATATGAAATAAACAGAATTTATATTTTTTAAATATAAAATGGCCCAAAAATAATACAACTTGAATGTGTATATTTGACATCCAAATTTCAAATAAAATAAAAATTCAAAGGTATGACAATTACAAGAAGTTATTGCCATTATATAATATCACTATTAAATGTAAATAAATAATTTCATTTTCAAGATATTTAATATCAAAACTATATTAATACATAATAAAATGACAAAATTTAATTGTTTGAGTAATTCATTCATCTGGTATAGTTAATTCAATTTGTTTAGAATCTATTAATTCAATTTGTTTAGAATCTATAAAATATTCATCACAAGAATAAATATTAATAAATATTATAAATTTTAAAAAAAAATTTAAATGTTAATAATTACCATCATTATTACCAATAATTGTTACTTTATTGGAATTCACAGGTTGGGG